TATATGCCTGTATTTAGACCTCTATAAATGCCCTTTGCCTCCTAGTTCTTTCCTCTATTTCCTTTTACTTTCCACTTGTCCCACTATCATGCTTCATCTTCATTTGGGTTTCAGTAATTCCTCTACATTGCCCTTGATCAAGCCCTACCAGGCCTCTTACACCCTCCTCGCCACTGATTTTGGATCATTGTTGTTCCCCTGTCCCTGGGTTTTGTTAACATCATTTCGTTTCCCTCACCTCCCCCTCTCCCATGTAATTTTTGTCTTTTTGACATTGAATTGTAATCTCTACTGAAGACTGCAATCCTTGATCTTCATCAGTAAGTGCTTCCAAGTCCTCCTCACTTTTAGCAAGCAAGATTATGTCATCTCCATATTGCAGGTTTTAAATAAGACATCCTCTAATCCTGATGCCAGTCTTCTTCATCATAAAATCCAGCTTCTCTGATTATTTGCTCAGCATATAGATAGAATAAGTATGGTGAAATGATACAGCCATGATGCACACTTTTCCTGCTTTTAAAACATGTAGTATTTTCTTGTTCTTATTGCACAACTGCTTCTTGATCCATGTCCAGCTTCTGCATGAGGACAATGAAGGGTCCTGGGATTCCTATTCTCAATGTTATGCACTGTTTGTTATGGTCCACACAGTCAAATGCCTTGGCATAATCAATGAATACACAAGTAAACATCATTCTCTGCTTTGAGCCAAAGTCCATCTGATATCAACAATGATATCCATTGTTTTATGTCCTCTTCTGAATCCAGTCTGAACCTCTTGCAGCTCCTCTTAGTGTACTGTTGAAACTATTGTTGGATGTTATTCAGCAAAATGTTACTTGCATGTGATATTAATGATGTTTTCCTATACTTTGAACATGCTGCTGGATCACCTTTCTTTGGAATGGGTACAGATATGGATCTCTTCCAGTCAGTTGGCCTAGTAGCTGTTTTCCAAATTTTCTGGTTTAAATGAGTATGTGCTTCCAGTACTTCATCAACTTGTTGAAACATTCCAATTGATAATTCTGAGTACTTTGTTTTTGGCTAATACTAAGTGTTCCTTGAACTTCTTCCTTCAGTACCACTGATTCTTGCTCATATGCTACTTCCTGAAACAGTGGAATGTCAGCTAGTTCCTTTTGGTACAGTGACTCTGTATTCTTTCCATCTTCTTTTGATATTTCCTGTATCATTCAATATTTTGCCCATAGAATCTTTTAGGATGCAACTCAAGGTTTGAGTTTTTTCTCACCATAGGATTAGTGAGAGATAAGATGCAAAATGTGCATCAGGACTTATTCTTTGTATCTTTTCCCAGAGAGAATGAAGAGGCCCCATAATAACCCCCCTCCCTTTTTTCCATGAAGGGTCGTGGATGAATTTAAGGGCGCTGAATGAATTTAAGTGGACCTTTGGGGGCAGGAAGACTAAATGATTGAATGTTGAAAAAGCATTACTTAGGATGAAAGTGATAGGTGAAAAGAGGAATTGGAGGATGGAAGGAAGAGCTAATATGAGTGAATAATTGAATAGAGGTGATGGAGGTAAATGGAAATGTAACTTTAGTGCTAATTGATATTTCTAACCTGAAAATGATGATACCATCAGGAAAATCAGGAAAATCAGGGGGATGGACTATTTTAAGGGATGAAGATGTTAGTTTAGCTTTTTCTAGATAATGTTTAAACTCTGGATGGTTTATCAAGAACTCTGAAATGAATGTGAAGTTGATAATAGATATTTGAATTTAAGAATTTCATTTGGTGAATCACTTTTCTTTTTTTAATATATCATTTTGTATATATGTATGTAGAGGGAATTTCTTATTATGAATTAATTATAATAAAGAGATTATCTTTTTTAAAAGTGGAGTACATAAATACAAAGTATTAAAATAGTCTTAATTATGTTTTGTTTAATTTTGTAGTTTATTTTCTCTCCAAAATACTTGTCAGAATGATTGTTTTACACCACAGTGCTAAATTTAAAGATTGTATGCTCTACCCTTTACGCATTAATAATCATCTAGAGTTTAAAATTATAATATAATTTTCCTATTTATGTAAACAAAAATCATGTAATGGTTTTTTAAAATAAAGAATACATTTATCATTAATTATTTTCTCTTTTTTGTGTCTGGTCACTAGGAATGATAACACAACTTGCAGAGAAGTACAATCTTCCTTTAAGGACAAGCTTCAGCTCTGCTCGAGGATTTTTCATCCAAATGAGTACAGATTGTACAAACCTACCCAGTGACCAGCTTCCTTCAGAATTTATTAAGGTCCACTGTAGAATGATTAGAAAATTGTTGTTTATAATTTTCTAAGAGTAGATTTATGTATTTTAAGGCAGTATTTTATGTTTAAATATTTGATTGTTCTTTAAGTTACTTTTCCTTTTATTCCTACCCACTTACTTAAGTTATATTAAATTAAGAGTACCTTAGAAACTTAATGAAAAATATCAAATACAAAATTTTGAGAACTTAATATAGGGGGTGGTGGGGAAAGAAAAGGAAGAAGGGATGTCCAACAGAAATATGGAAAATACTGCACTATCTCTTGTTTTTCGCAGCTTGCAGGGCATATTCGCCCAACAAAGTTTTAAATGTTTCAAAGTAAGAAGTCTGCCTAATATTTGAAAATCCAATATTTCCAACCATTTGGGCCATGGGAATACTTGCTATGCACACATATTAATGCCCCCACAATAGTCTATCAGTTTGGAAAAGTCTTATCACATCTAAGTTCTTTGGCTGTGCAAATGCAAAGCACTAGTCTACTGACCAAAAGATTTCACCTATAGGCACCTTGGAAGACAGGTTTGTTGGTTTTCTAAAAGGTCATAAATCTGTTCTGAAATCGATGGGACCAACTTGAGTCAGAATTAGCTGGAAAGCAGCTGGCTTATCAAATCTAATCTACTAGGGGATACATTTTGTTTTGGACAGAACCACGTAGCCATGGGGTTAAAAATGTTTTTTTTTTATTGTATAACCAAATACTAAAGGGGTAGAGTATGAGCTCTGGTGTCATAGTGGTTATGTATTGGTTTGCTAACCACAAAGTCAGCAGTTCAAAACCACCAGCCATTCCAAGTGAGAAAAATGAGGCTTTTCCCATAAAGTGTTACAGTCTCATCTCATAAATCCACAGGGTCAGTTCTACCCTGTCTCATTGGGTTGCTATGAGTCAGAATCAACTTGATAGCAATGAGTTTGCTGTGTAAAATTTTTAATTTAAATGATAAAGAATGTGTTGGCACTCAGTAATGAGGTTAGCGATTGAATGGGCTTCAGGAATGGACAAGACTCTGAGGTAAGGGTCAGAGATAGAGTAAGGATCAAGAGATCAATTATGCATATTGGTATTAAAATATAGTATTTTTTTAAAGATACAGTATTTTAACATGGCAGATTTAAGGTCTGCAAAAATAATCATGACATATAAGATAGACTTTACCCCTGGATAGGAGGTCTGATGGAAATGTGGGCCAGGCATTATACTGCTAACTGCAAAGTTGGTAATTCAAACCCAACATCTACTTCAGGGGAGAAAGACTAGGCTGTCTGTTTTTGTAAAGATGTACAGTCCTGGAAACCAATATAAAGGTTGCTATGGGTTAGAATAAAATTGATAGCAGTAGGTGGGTGTAATATACCTGTATGTGAACTTCTTTTTGTCTTTCACAGTCATGTATTCGAATTTGTTTTTATGATATCGTATCTCAGAAATTAAAGTGGTTAATTTAAATACCTAGATTTCTATTGAACTATGCACTTATTTTGACATTTGTTTCTTAAATTTCCTAACAGATTTCTAAAATGAAAAATTCTTATAGCTTTACATCATCAGATTTAATTAAGATGAATGAAAGATGCCAAGAGTCTTTGAGAGAAATTTATCATATGACTTATATGTAAGAGCATTTGAAGTATTTGAATATTTAATGAAATTAGTTTAATTTGAGGCACTATGATAAATTTCATTAATGGACTTTTCTCCAATTTCAGACAATTGTAGAAGTAAGAATGTTAGTAGAAAAAGAATATTTCTTTTCCTGAAACAGTTCAAGATTTTTAAAGTCTATCATTGTGACTAGTAGTCACTCATTCTCACAGAAATTTCAGGGCAAATTTAATTGCAAAAATGCCACTGTAATTGGTACTTTTCTTGTATGTATTCCACCATGAAAAAAAACATGCATCATAGGCTTATCTTGGACTTCGTTCAACCTCTTCTTTTTCTGTGATCTGTAAGCCTGCAGCTTTTCTAACTGGATAATTCTATAGTAGTATCATAATAGTGCCAGTTTTTATACTGTTCATGAAAAGTAGAAATACAGCTAGAAAGAAGAAATAGAATGTTAAGAACTGATGGGCTATGATGTCAAAGAGAAAGATTGGTTTTCAAAACTATTTAGAATATCGATCCATGTTTTTGAGTGCATACTTATATTCTTTTTTTTAGATTTATTTTTTTAACATTTTATTAGGGGCTCATACAACTGTTATCCCAATCCATACACACATCAACTGTGTAAAGCGCATTTATTTGCACATTGTTTCTAAAAACATTTTTTTCTCCATCCAAACCCCCGACATTAGGTCCTCATTCTTCCCCTCCCTCCCCGCTCCCCCCTACTTATATTCTTATAAGGATAATTTTTTATGTTACATTACAGTATTGTAACTAGTACATAAAAGCTTTAATAGTTATACTGTTTTGTGGGGGTGGGTGGGGATTGGGAAGAATTAGAGAGAGAAAAAACTAATAGCCTTCTTTGGAAATTAACATTTTCAAAAACAAAATTATTAACAGATAGGGTATGTCTAAGTCTAGCAATGGCTTGATTTTAACTATGCAAAATGTTTTTATTGAACATAAAAGCAGTAATTTTATTTATTTATTTTTATTTTTAATCATTTTATTAGGGGCTCATACGACTCTTATCACAATCCATACATACATCAATTGTGTAAGGCACATTTGTACATTCATTGCCCTCGTCATTCTCAAAACATTTGCTCTCCACTTAAGCCCCCGGCATCAGGTCCTCATTTTTAAAAGCAGTTATTTTAAAAGCATGTTGTTAACATGGTAAGTAGCTGGGACCTTAAACATGGACTTTGGTTTCTTTCTATTTAAAACTAGGTAATTGAACTTTAGTAGACTATCTATAATATACAGCTTAGTTGTGTATGTATTTTACCTTAGATAACGTAATATTGTCTTATAATCACAATTGTGTGTCCCTTTAAAAATGCATTATTACATGTCTATCAAACATGTACTTTCAGGATAGTGTGCAAACTTCTTAGTGAAATTTATGAACATATTCATTGTTTATATAAGCTATCTGACACTGTGTCAATGCTGGACATGCTCCTGTCATTTGCTCATGCCTGCACTCTTTCTGACTATGGTAAGTTACTTTCTTTAGAATAAACATATTGCATGCTGAAATCTGTATTCCTTTTGGACAATCTTATGTAACTATTATAAATGTTTTAAACTTTTTAGTTGACATAAAGGCTCCTGATTATGGTCCTAGACTAACCACAAATAGAGAAAGTGAAATTATCCTTAAAATGCATTTTAAAAGCCAGAAAATTATTCATTGAGAAATTGGCAAATCACAGAAAGAAAAAATCCATGGAAGAAAGGTGAAAGGAAAACTCTCAGAGCTCTCATTTTTTTTTTTTCAGAGCTCTCATTTTTTAAAAATTAAATAATCATTTTATTAGGGGATCATACAACTCATCACAATCTGTACATGTCATTTGTGTCCAGCACATTAGTACATATGTTGACTTCATCATTCTTACAACACCCGCTTTCCACTTTAGCCCTTGGTGTCAGCTCATTTTCCCTCTCCCTCCCTGCTCCCCCTCCCCCCAAACCCCTGATAATTTATAATTTATTATTATTTTATCATATCTTACCC